AAAAATACTTTTGGTGGTTCTAGCTTCACACATAACTAGTACAGATAAGAATTTATCTGTAAAATGTCTGATGTTCAAAATAGAATACATCTATACATCTCCAACTTCATAGGTGATGAAAGTAAAAAGATGCAAAACTGTGAGGCCTAATTATTCTTTTCTTCTCTGACTCTATGCTTTTAAGGATCTCCAATAGAATAACCTCAGAACAGCTTTGACTTCATTAAACCAAATGAAAGGCACTACTATAGGTAAATAATATTCTGGGTCTCCTTTATAAATGATTACAACTACAGAAGACAAGCTCTATTATGTATTGTAAAATGCTCAAAATTTTATTTTTACTACCTTGGACAATGCACTACTGAGACTGAGATCCAAATATATTGATTTTACCACTTTTAAGGAAAAATACAGCTTTTTTTTTTACTATACTCAGCATGAATAATTCAGTGATGTGTTAAATTAAGCTTAAAGATTTATGTCATTTTAATTTGCATTCTATTCACTTCAACTTTATTATACATTCTTCTAGTATATAGTATGACCCTGCAATATGAACTCAAAGTTTTTAATAGAATTAGTATTTAATTTAGAAAAAACTGATATACCATGTTATAATTTCATATTCTCTGGATTACAAATAAGTTCTGAACTTAAAATTAAAGACATCGACTGTAGAAGAATCCTACTAATAATACACATTGTTGCTTATACGAGCCTTTGCTCTCTATAAATGGATAAGATCACAAGCAGATTTTGGAAAATGGCAAATCAAAGCAAATGGAAAACATTTAAAAGAAAAAATCTGAAATAACTTGTACAGCTAAGTAATAACTAGAAAAGTGCTATGACTCTCATAATTGTATATAAATTTATTTCTACAATGGGCATATAGTATTTGCTTCTTTTCCATTTCTGAATTATAATAATGCATGAAAAATTGAATGGTGCCATTATTAGACAAAGAAGCAATTCTCATATCTCAATAAGTACTCACCATTTTCTTATTATTGACTTATCACTTTGTATATATCCAAACATATTTTACTTTTTTATTTTCTCTAAAACAAATAACTTAGTATTTTTTATTTAAAATATTGCTAAATATTCACATTTTAATTATTGTTTATTTTTCTTTAAAATGTTGTTATATTTTGGAGTTATCACACCACTACATTCACTCCTTGGTATTGTACAACCCACCCCCCGCAAATTGAAGTACTAAATGTTTTCTTTATTTCTTACTAAAACCTTCCAATTTCTTGACTCCTTTTTTTTTTCATGCCATTTGCTGAACAAGGAAAATCAAAGAGTTAAAAAAATTGGGTGTTCCCCATGTCTTAGTATACACAAATTTTTATTATAAAAATGTCTTCTAAAGATGACTCTTTTTTTCTCCAAATAAAATACTATTAAGTTCTGTAATCACTGAAACTTGTATCATTCAAAAATTCATTTCAAGCTACTTTATTCATTTTTCTTTAATTTCTAAGTGAATGAAATAGCTTAGCTTCAAATTGTCCTTTCAAATCTTATATTTGCCAGATTCCATGGGAAAAATAATATCTGTTTAAATCATTTTAAAGCACTCTGAGCCATCTTCTTTGGACACATTATTTCTATAGCTATTATCCATTCTAGACCAAGTTAATCCTTCTTAGTTCCTCCAAAATCTCAATAACTTTGAACATTAAGAAAATATTCTCAAATAGCTAATCTTTTACTCACCTTCTGGCTCATTTACTTTTTTCTCTCCCTTTCTGAGATACATTTATTTTTTGCCCTCTTCAAAGCAAAGTCTTCCAGATCAGCTAGTTTGCTAACTAGTCACATATGCAGATACCCTGTATTCTTCTCTTTTATTTATATAATTGTTCACTTCATCCCTTCTTATGATTTTTATATTACATGTAAAAAAAGGTATACATTTTCACAGCTACAATTTTCCCTATAATAGCACATAAATTATTTGCTTATCTATCACATTTCTGCAAACTCATAATTAGAAATTTATTAACCATCAGAGATAGATGTGTACAGGAACAAAGGTCAAAGTGGCAGTGGCAGCTGAGAGGCAGCTTTATATCCTGTTTGTGCTCTGCAAAGCAGAGCCAAATCTGGGTCATTAAATTCAGCAGGAAGCTTTGAAACATCTTCCAACCCTGTGTAGCAGGATGCTGAGTGGTTTTTGACCTAGTTTTGCACACAAGAATTCTAAGACTGCTAGGGCATGGAGACTGGGTGTTAGATCTGTGCCTGTGTTGCTGGAAGGATCCATAAAAGGTTAGCTTCATGAGTGTTCCAGGTCTAAGAAAATTTAATGTGATAATGTTTGCTACCAGCTTAGTTCAGAAGCAAACTCTCTTTTATACTACTTTTCAAAGTTGTAAGCAAATTGAAATCAAATTGAGAAGGATTTAGCAGTCCCCTCAGTTATCCTAAACTTACACAGAGTTTTTCCTGACTTTTGGCCTTGACCTTTCTTAGAACATTTACTTTAGAAAAATTAGAATTATAAATTTTTCTCTACTCCTTGGAGATATGTGTTAAAAAGCCTTTTGTCTGTTTTACAGCCCAATGATGTTTTTCTCAAGGGATTAAAAGTGATATATATTATATATGTAATATATATTATGAATATATATATAATAAAGATATATATATATATATATTTATAATGTAAACCTCAGGGGAGATCAATTCTTCAGTTTCTGTGGGGCGGAAGGAATTTAGGAAGATATTGCTGCTAGTTTTGAAATTAACCCCATCACAAAGAAATGTGAAAGTTTACTTTTCCTTTTGTAAAATCAATTAAAGCAAACATAAATTATCAGAGTTCTTACTTTGAATCTAGAACTTAAAAATCCTCTCTCTCTTTGTTTCACCAGAGTAAGTCAGAGATTGATTTGTTATTTCTCTTGCTTATTGCAACAGCTTTGAAAAATGTCTTGCTTACCTGTTTAACTTTGTCTTCTTCAACTTTTTATTTTGTCAAAATATTATTTCAAAATTATGGGGCCAGAAGACAACTAAGTCTTTCATGGCATTTGTGCTTTGATATTCTGAACTCAAAGAATTATGCATCTTCTCTGTTCCAAGAGTCTTCATTTACTGATAATTATATTAATGTTAGCAAAGTACTCTCCATTATAAGCCAAATTCTCAATGAGGACAGATTCCTGCTAGTTATATAGACATTTGGCTCCTTTATCTTATCTTCACAATGCCATCAAGGGCCGTGCTGCATTGATAATCAGACTGTATCCTGCCTTTCTTTTCTAATCTCACAGGATGATCAAGAATTCAGGCAGAATGAACACATGACAATTCTAATAACAAACAAATCATCAATTTACACTGTCATTGCTTCTCTCATGGTATTTGATTATGTCTCCTCATCTCTTATTAAACTTGAAGAGTTATTATGATTTTTTTAACTAATCCAAGTCTTGATAATGTTCCAGACAGCATATTTCATGCCTTCTAACTTCCTCAACTTTTGGCATCATATCATATTTTCCCCTAATCTAAATTATCTCTTTACTTGGACTGTGAGCTTCTGGAGACCAAAGAAATGACTTATGTGTTAGGTTGTTCTCCTAAGATACAGCTAATACTTCTACATTAAATATCATCCAACAAATGTTTACTAAATTGGCAAAATTATTTGAATGCATGGAATATAATTAGGTTGCAACCAATAAAATACATTGGTGTAGTCAATCAGGGGAATAAAATTTGAAAAATTCATGTTCTCAAATCTAAGTATCTTTATTGTCTCTTTCAACTAAGTTTGTCGTGTCTTTATTAAATGTTCTGTGAGAGTTTTTATATTAATATAACATACTACAAGTATAAATGCTCTTTGAAACCATCATTTCCAAAGGGAAAGACATTTAGAATCTGTTTCCCACCCTAATACTCTAAGCAAGTATGGACATAGATTCTTATTATCTAACAATTAATTATGCTCCCTGCTCCTCTCAAAATTTCAATCCATGGCAATTATCAAGAACACAAGCAACAAAAAATGTTGGGGAGGATGTAGAAAAAAATACATTGTTGGTGGGGCTGCAAATTGGTGCAGACATTATGGAAAGCAATATGTAGATTCCTCAGGAAACATGGCATGGACCCACCATTTGATCCAGCTATCCCACTCCTAGTCATATACCCAAAGGACTTAAAAACAGCATACTACAGTGGCACAGCTACATGACTGTAGCAGATTAACTCACAATAGCTAAACTATGGAACAAACCTAAGTGACCTTAAACAGATGAATGGATAAAGAAAATGTGATATGTTATATATACATATATGAATATTACTCAGCCTTAAATAAGAATGAAATGATGTATTTACCAGTAAATTGTAAATGGATGGAGCTGGAGACTATAATCATAAGTGACATAAGCCAATCCCCTAAAAACTAAAGGCTGAATGTTTTCTCTAGTATCCAGATGGCAATTCACAATAAGCTGGGCAGGGCTAGGGAAGAGTAGAGGTACTTTGGGTTAGATAGAGGGGAGTGAAGGCAAGGAAGGAGCATAAAGGGAGGAAGGATAGCAGAATGAATCAGACATTATTACCCTATGTGCATATATGATTACATGACTGGTGTGATTCTACATCATACACAATCAGAAGAAGGAGAAGTTATACTCCATTTATGTATGATGTGTCAAAACACATTCTACTGTGATATATTACTAATTAGAACAAATAAAAAGTTCATTTCATCAACTCTTTTGTTTATTTACATCAGCCTATTTAAATCCTTTGTGGAAGATAGGAACATATATCTATACATATATATATTTCTGATTTCAGTAACAAATGAAAAGTTAGTCTGAATTTACCCCATTAGAAAATCTTCAACTGAAAAATAAAGTATATAGGCAAAGATTTTCTCTTATGTTTTCAAAGCTTTACTCAATGGAAATGAGCTAAAATGTATAAAACATCAATATGATGCTTCAAGTGTTTTCCCTTACCTGTATATGCAAATTGGACAAGATCCCAGAGGGCATTGGGGTCTATACCTTCCATCTTGATCTCCTCTTGCTTGGCTTCACAAACATCACTTGTAAACATGGCAGCAAAATAGTCAGAGACTGAACTCAGAACGAGCCTGAAAGAGTCACAGGATCTAATTTAAGCCATGATCATAAAACATGAAAACAATGTGTCAATCATAATGTATTGCAGAGCACATAATCAATCATCAATCAATAAATCAAATGTATTTTTTTATTGCCTCAGGGTTATTCTTTTAAAAACTGATTTGGGAAATCTTGCCCTAACTTTTGGTCACAAAGCATTCTGCTATATTTTCTTCCATTGTTCTAAATATGTTTTTCCTTTCACATTTAGGCTGTTAATTCTTTTGGATAAATTTTCCACATTATATTAAGGTGCCACCTCCATCACAAATTTAAGTCCTGAATATATATTTGTTGTTTCTGAGATTTCTATTATATTTTTTGGCCATCTACTTGTGCCAATACAATAAACTTTTTTAATACTGTGATTCTATGTCTTTATAATTAATAAGGCAATCTTTTCTATTTAGTTTTATTTTTATTTAAATATTAATGGAGTGTGATTGTTTCATAAGTGAAGTTTCAAAGTATCTAAAGTAAGTTTTTAAAGCTCTTCCCAATAATCAGTATGGAATTCGAATTTTAAAAATCACTGATATTTCCAATTTCATCTGATGTACACTGGTATTTTTAAAATATAAACCAAACAATCCAAAAGCATAACATCTATAGCTTGTCTACTTTATTGTCAAATATAAAATTGTTTCCAGTATTGAACTATATAGTGTTGGTTAATTCCTATATACTTTTCAGTTTGAGTGGCTTTGTGCATAATATCTTCATTCTAATATTAGTAACTTTATTTTTATTCTAGTAACTTTCAAAAAATATTGTAAATACCACTAAAAAATATTTTTAGGGAAATGGAATCTAGCCCAGCAGTACAAGCTATAGTAAAGAAAAATTTCCTAGTGTTGATACTAGTTTGGTTCCAATAAAAGTTAGCTTTTTTGTTCTTATCATTTATTTTTTGTGATGTAATATGTCCCCCATTTCTAAATATTTAATTTTTTTCTCTTTGTTTTAGGATCTTTCATGATAATATGCATAAAGTAGGGGTTATTTAGTGTTTACTCTGCTTATGATTTTCTGAGCTTCCTAGAGCAGTGGGTAGATTGTCTTTTATCAAATTTAAAACTGTTTTGCAAAGAAATCCTCAAGTTTTTGCACAATTTACTTTCTGATTCTTTCTAGGACTCAAATTATATTTCTGTCTCAACAAAGAGAATGCCTTTCATGCTCTGTGCTTTCTAGTGACTTGAATTTTCTAAAATCTCATTTATTATTTCTCTTTGCTTTATTTATTATAGCCATTTTCCTGTAAATATTTAAATCATTCTTTTGTAGTTACTTTTATGCACTTTTCTGATCGTTTTAACAGCCAGGTCATTTCTAGGTCAATTTTCATCAATTGGTTTTTTTCTTAACAAGTTTTATTCATGTGCTGCCAATTTTAACTGTATAACAGGCATTGTTCCATCCTCCCTCTAAATATTAGAAGCTAAAAATAGATCATAATTTTAGTTTCTATGTTTTTTTATATAAGAAATCTTTTGATTGTTTTGATTGTTGTTGGCATATTCACAGTTTTTTTATTGTTTAAAGAAAAATATATTTTTTTGGATTTTCTGGTGATTAATTGTTGCTTTAGTGGAAATAAAGAGTTCCCATGTATATTTTCCATCCTAAATGGAAGTACAAATTTTGTACAGATTGTAAAACTCTTGATAATACAGCTTCACTTATAAAGGGAAAATTAAAAACAGGGGAAAAAAGCACATGATTAAGAGTTGTGTTCTTCACAGTTGTTAGAATTAGCAACTCAAAACTTCCTTTTTTAAGAGTAGGGTAGAGTAAATTCAGAAAATTTTGAGGATTATCAGCAAAAGATCAGTCAATGACTTATAATAAAAGAAAAAACAAAATATGATGCTGGACTGCAATTGGAGGATATAATATATATATATTTTTTTTCTTTGCTCTTAACATAAAAAGTGTAGAAATTCCTATTTATTTTTCTGTATGAATGTAGTTTAAGGATTTCCTGGAAGAAGAGCAGACCATAGAGCAGGAACTTCTGTTGTTCTAGAATTTAAATTTAAATTCAAAACTAATTCAGATGTGCCAAATGAACTAAATGAGATGCCTACCTTGCAAGTAAACCAACAATAAACTAAATGCATTTCTTTAGTTTTCCTTTTTCCCCTAAGAATACTCTAAAGGACATAAAAGAAGAAATGTCAATATCTGTAAGATTTCATGATATTTTAGTAGGAAAAATTTTCTAATTACTTATTTTGCAGTTTTATGTGTTTTAAATGCTTATCTTTTGTATAATATAAGTGAAGGGGCCTGGTAAAATTTAATTTAAACAAAAAAGTACATTTCTTCTTTTAAGTAAACAAAATTCCTTAAGTATAAAATTTATGCATTTAAGAAGCTCCTTGTGGGACTTATGATTTTATGTATGTTAATATTAGTGCCTAGAATGGCAACACACTAGAAATACTTAAATAATCAGTTCCCTATTTATTGTTCGATAACATGCCAATTCTTTACATTCTCAAAGTTTGACAGAATAATTCAACCACAGATATCTTCAAATATATATTACATGCCAGTTAGAAAAATCACTGTCAAGTGATAAGCTTTGTCTAAAACACTAAATATAATCTTATATGACACACATATAAACTATGAAAAAAATGGGATAAGTACCTTTCCAGGTGTAAGAAGTACATGAACATAAAGTTAACCAGTTCAATTATAACACACAAAATCCACATTTGTGGGAATGAGACATCCTATAGAGCAAAATATTGTGTGACCTATGTAATTTAATTTTAAATCATTACATAAATATTCCCCATCTTCTATGACTTATAAAATACTGCTAACTCAGTAATAGAAATGCAGAAAAATTTAGACTGCATTTAGATTTAGTGACACATAAGCTTTGAATTAGATTTTAGAAGAAGGATTTAATGCACAACAAAAATTAATATCTTTATATGTACATATTTGGCTTCCATCAGTGCAAGAGAAGCAGAAGCAAAAACTGCATAATTGAGTGTATTAATGCAAATACTTTGGAAAATCTCTTATTGAAGTCACTGCAAATTTATTTCCTTACAAATCTATTAAACATTGCTAAGTTCCATCTCAATTTTTGTGATGTTTGACATTGTTGACTTCCCAATCTTTAAATCAGTTTTTGGCTAAAGCAGTACAGACTTCTTATCTCAGCTTACCTCTGATTCAATGACTTCTCTCTGCTTTTACTATTTGACCCTTTCATTATCATAGGTACTTTTCAGGCCTCTGTACTTTGCCTTAACATTCAATGCCACTGAATCATTCTTAAGCATGGTAATAATTGGTACTATCGTAGTTTTAAATCTAACTTTGTATCTCAGATACCTGTAGAAATTGCTCATTAGGCATTTAACCTGTCTAAACTAAACTCAAATCTTTATTTCTTTTGTTTACATTTTCCTGTTTTTAAATGGCACACTGCCAACATATCCAACATCCAGAACAGAAATTAGGAAATTTGCATTATGTTTCCTTCTACTTTATTGCCTATGTCAAATGTGACACAAACCCCATTTTTCTTTTTGTAGGGTTTGCTGTTGCTCTCCTTAGGAGGCAGAGCCACATCTCCAGGGGCAATAATGTTAGTACCTAAGAGCAACAAGGCACCTCTTTTCAGAAAAACTGTATTTGGTTTAACAAGAGCTGTCCCAGACCTTGGAAGTTAACATGATTCTGCTCCTCTCACTTCATTTTTCCCAGCTTTCAACCTCTGTGTGGATTCAAAGGCAATGACTGCTAGAACCAAAGTATGAAGGGCTGCCCCCTGGCTTCAGGGTGTGACAAACAGCAGCAAGTCATGCTTCAGAGCCTGGGAGATGAAGATGAAGTAAGGCTCCTTTCTAAATTTGTTCCTTCCTTTGCCCTCTCCTCCTTCACTTTCTTCTAAGGGCACTCACTCTATAAATAAATCATGCACACCTGACTTCCAGACTCAGGGTGTATTAATAGGGATCCTTACTTATGACACCATTTTTCAAAATATTTCTCAGTTCATCTCTTTACATTCCTAGAGCCCTCATTTCATGCCTGGATTAACTAAAACAGCTTCACAGATCATTGACTTGTTTCTGCTGGGCTTACTTTTCATGCATTTGTTAAAGTTGCACCATATTTCAAAGATATCTTTCAAAATTATGATAGTCTATCTACTGTGATTGCTAAAAGCATTACTTTTCTATCTTGGATTACCTGATTTGAGATTCTATCTTCACTGTTTTTGACTGTATATGATAATGTGTGAAACTCTTTTAATTTTTCCATGATACAGTTTTCTGTACTATAAGAAACTATGGGGAAAATCGGGGTTTCCCTTTCCTTTAAGACACATGTAAAGTACTTTAAACCGCCTGGTTTGTAATCAACACTGGGCATATTAATAAGCATTATCATTTTTATCATGTTACTATAATATGATAATATTATAATTATTATATGATATATTATAATATGATATAATATTATGATAGTAATTATCATATTATTATTGACTTATTTATGTTACTCCCCTCCTAAAGAATCTATATTAGCTTCTAATTATACTTAGTATTTCAATCCAAACTTCCCTATTGATTTTCAGGGTTTATCTTAATAATCTCTGTCTCACCTTATGGTTTAAGTTCCCACTATTTACAACATTGACTATTTTACTTTTACTTAACAGTTATCCTTATAAATTTGATAAATATAAATTATCTATTTTTCCACAGTACTCTATTTAACATAACACACCAGTTCTTTTTCACTGGGCTGAACTCAAAAGCAATTGTTCTAAAAATCTTTCAAAACACATTATCATGCTGTTATTTTCTTATTTGACCATATCTCACATTTGACATCAAAAACATATTTCAATTTCCAGTTATTGGCAACTAGAGTAATTTCCACAATTATTTGATAGGTTTTTCTTAACTACTTAAGTATATTGGAAACTCCA